ATTAATTTAAAAAAATTATTAATTAATTTTTTTTAATTTTTAATTAAGTAGCATAATTTAGTGATTTTTAAATTATTATTTATTTTTTTTATTCAAAGAACACTGTAAAGTTTATAATCGACATATTTCAAAAATTTTATATTTTTGTGGCAACTGCGCAGCATTTAGTAACCAAATATTTTCTAAAAAAAAAGTATCAAAATCATCAATATACCCACATATGCAAAATAATATCCAAGTATACAATCCAAACCAGATAGTATCAGTATTAATTGTCGCAGAATTGAAATTAAATTTGGAACAATACTTTTAGCAATTTGTTCAAAACCAAAAAAAACTTGGATTCGGCATACTTGTATTTCATTAATGCATGTACAATAGAATACTCGTTTAAACATTTTACTACTGTCACTTCAATTGATGTCTTCCAGTGACAGCATACAATATCAATAACAAACAGTAATTGTCTGCACAAGTGCCTAAATTAAGATGTTATAAGATGGCGAGACGAAAACGATGAATAAGCAACGACCACTAGAGGCTTGGTTGAGTATGTACAAAAGTGTGTATATGGATAAAATTATGCATAAATGTCGGTACACATTAAATACGAATATGTGTGTACGTATATAAGCATGTATTTAGATAACCCGTTAGTACTAGTTCAATCTTAACCCAAATTGAACGATAAATTTAATGAAGGATGGAAATTCAGCTTGCAGAAAAGCAAATAAGAAGGAGGCCGAGAGATATGGATGGAGATGGTGGTAAATAAAAATAATAACGAATTATGGCTTTGGAAGAAAGTTAATGAAAATTAAAAAAACAAAAAAAAAGAAATAAAATGAAAATAAAAAAAACATGGAAAAATAATAAGAAAAAAAGAAATTAAATATAACATAAATAAAACAAAAAAAAATTAAAATAAAAGAAAATTAAAAAAAAAACTTAAAAAAAAAACGAAAATTAAAAAAATAAAGATAATTAAAATTAAAATAATAATAATAAATAAAAGATTATTTAATAAATAAAAATAATTTTGAAAAAATTTATAAATAAAAATTAAAAAATATAATAAAAATTTATATAGATTTGCAAAAAATAAGGATTTTGAAAATTAATATAAGAATATTTGAAGGTTTTTGAAAAATAAAAAGGTATTATTATTAAATATTTTAAACAAAATTAATCAAAAAATTAATAATTTCTGAACTAATAACAGTAAGAAAATATGTGATGATTTGGGAATAAAAAAAATTTGAAAATATTATAAAAGCTATTAATGGTTAAAATAGTAATAATATTATAAAAAATAAATTTTGACTAAAAAATTAATACATACTTATTTATTAACGCTTTAGCAAAAAATTAATGATAAAAAATATTCAATCGGGAAATTAATCAAATAAATTATAGTTTTATAAATAGAGAACTTGTATAAAATTTGAAAATAGCTGACAATTAACACAAATATAAATATAAAAAAATGCAACAAAATATAAAATAAGAAGTAATATGATTATGAAAAAAACAAAACAGTAAAAAACTAAGTGATTTGGAAAAAAATTAAAATATTTATTTTTGAAATAATAAAAAGAGAAATTTAATGGTGTAAAACATAAAACACTTTTTCGCTCTTATTAGCCTTCTAATAAACGCACATGTGTCTTATTGGCACACTTAAGGCGAACACTGGAGAGATATACGAAACCAACGAAAATATGAAATTGTTGTAACACTTTCGATTTAATAACAGATTTTAATGAACGTTTACAGCAAAGATAATAATAAAATTTTTTTTTTTAATTTTCTATTTTTATATATTTTTTAATTTTTTTATATTTTATATTTTTTTTATTTTTTTATATTTTATATTTTTTTATATTTTATATTTTTTTTTATTTTATATTTTTTTTTATTTTATATTTTTTAATATTTTTATATTATTTAACCTTTTAGTTAAAAAAAAAAAAATTTATATTAAAACATTAAAAAAAATTTTTTTAAATATTTTTAACCTTATTGATACTTTTTTATAATTTTTTTAATTGTTTTCTTTTTTTTAATTTTTTGATATTTTCAACCTTATTGCTACTTTTTCTAATTTAATCTTTTTACTGAAAAACATTAATATTGCAATTACAGCACTTAATTATCTAATAACAATTGGTAATTTTCAACAAAGATACTAACTTCCGCCACCGCCGCTCATGAAGAACGCTGACGTTTGTAGGCCATAAAGCGACGCAACCTCACAAATACCACTCCACATAATCATCATTGGCGGCTGCGCGGGTGCGTGAACTCTAATCCCATCAGCGGCGCAATGACCGCAAAACAGCACAGTTTTCTTTAATGCGCTTTTTTCTTTTTCTTTTAATAAATATAATATATATATATATACTAATTAGCACAATAACACAAACACTTTGCAGCAGCAACACATACAATAAATAAAATTTAACCGATTACTAATTTGCTATTATTCTTTAACTGCTTTGTTCAGTTCTTCAATTTTGTTTTTGTTTCTATTTTTGCTTTTGCTGCGCGCTTATCAACCGATTTTCACACTCAACACGTTCTTGTGACTAGAGGTGGTGGTTTCTCCCGCGATATGTTGATAAGACTATTTTGTGTTTACGATCTTCGTTTGGCGACGCAAAAAAAAAAACAACAACAGCGAAGAAAAAATGTTCTTCTTCTTCTGCGAGATCTGCACTTTCTACGCGCGGCGACAACGCGACTTCTCGCACGATACACGCTGACTGGAGAGTTCTTGCCCGTCAACTAGTTTTCAATTGATACAATAATCGAGCATAAACCCACCGAAAATGTGGAAGTAAATTGTGACAACAAAAACAAGCAAAAGCAATTACACAATAAAAAGTGTCGCCAATACAAATTTCGAGTGCAAAGACAGTATGCCGAAGAGAATGAGCGTTAAGATGGGACACAAATAAAAATTAATTGAAATTAAATGTCAGCGATATTTTATCACGTACATATGTGTGTATGTATGTATGTGTGAGGGAGCGTACGGATATACTTGTGTGTAGAGTTAAATGTGCATATGTGCTGGCTTGATGATACTATTCATAAGAATTTCACTCGAAGAAAAAAAATGTTCGCACAAAATGTAGATCCCTCCCCCAATTGTTTAAATTTGTTACTCAAAATTAAAGAAAAAATTTAAGAGAATTAAAAAATATTTTAAAATGGCTGCAGAGATTTAAAGAAAGCCACATTCTTATTACTTAAGCAGCCAACAACAACTTAGAAGGTCACTGCTTCTTGCCGTTGTCTAAGATAAGCTCAGCAGGGTTCCAAACCATAAGCCAAAAATACAATATGTAGAAATTTGACAAGCACAGTTATGGTAGATAACACTTTTCATGTTTATTTACTATAAATACTTAGTATGAAAAGCTATTTTTAGATTAGCATTACTCTGGCAGTAAGCAAAGATTATATTTTACAAGATAAGATATATACGACGACGACCTTGAAAATATTGTGGCACAAAACATTAATACTACACGTGATCACTGCTAGGTAAATCGTAGGTTCATAATGTCAAAGTGTCAAAATTAGAATATATAGTTAATTTTACAATTTAGATTGTTTCAATTTATAGAGATTTCTAATAGCTCAACATCAGCGCCACCTACTGGTTGAATTTTTTTCTACAATCTTTTAGTTTAAGTGGCGTAAAAATTTTTTTAGCGCCTTTAGAAGATTCTTTATAGATTTTTTATGCCTAATTGCAAACAATACTTTACTTTGCTATATACTTTACTTTATTTACATGTAGCAAGTATATTTTCTTTAAAAAACGTATGCCAACTGGTCTATCAAGACGCTTAAAAGCCATAGAAGTTTCGACCACGACATCTCATGACAAATTTTAATAGAATTTTACCACTATCGGTAAAAAAAAATTCGAACAAACTGCTTACATTTTAACGATAAGATTAGTTATTAGTTCGAGATAAAGTAATGGAAAGTCCGAACAAAATAGAACATAAGCAAATAAATTAAATGTCTAAAAATTAAAGATTATAATAGAACATAATTTGTAAAAATTGTACAACACTTTTAACCCTTTATATACCAGCTCAACTCTTTTATAAAATTGCCACTTGAAATATTTCTAGTTTTAATGCTTCAACTTTTTCACAAAAAACTTATACACAGTAAAATTTCAGTATTTTTTTAAGCTTTGTCATCTTTTCTGGGGTTACAAAACAATTCAAAAGGCACATCCCTCATAAAATTTCATACGACAAAGTCCACGGTTAGTGATTCAAACTTCCATATACATCAGTTTGTACGAAAACTAGTCTGTCAGTTTTTACTTGTAGATCTGAAATTATGCACAAATCCTTTTCCCATTTGTTGGTTCCACCTATATCGCACAACTATAGCATATAGTTACCATACAAACTGACAAATCCAAGTGAATTTCTTGTTTTTATTATTTTTGACAATATGTATAAAATGCAGGAGTTTTATAATATGTCATTAGATTTTGTTTAAGGGTTAATATTTAAAGTTTTAAATATTACATTATTAAGATTAGGATTTAGTATTGTTTAAGCTGTAATATCACAATTTAAAGCTTATTTTTACCTAAGAAATTATGTGTAAAGGGTCTAAAGGAGGTCAAGGTTTGATGTTTAGCTTACCGATAACATTTTAAATATCTTTTAAGCCATAGATTCGCATTTTTTCGAATTATGCGATTTAATTATAGGACTAAAAATTGAATACAACAAAAATGCCCTTCATAGTACAACAATATAATGAGCCGTAAACACACGTAATCTCAGGCACAGCACAAACACTAACCCACACTATAAGCAGAAATAAAAACAATGAATGTCGTGAAGTGGTTTAAGCACATACTTAGCACAATTACACTTGGCGACACTAGTCCCTTCACACATATTCCACCATACACCTACGCATACGCACACACCCACACTTACGTAGTTACATACCTGTTGCATAGGCTGGTTCGATTTCTTCTTCGGAATGCAAGTGTTGTTGCTGTTGCTGTTGTATTGGCACAGTCGGTATAGGAACAGGTATAGGTAGACGCTCGTAGTGTATACATTCATGGTGATATTGATGATGATGATGTCCATTATGTATGGTGCCGAGTGTGCTGCTGCGACCACCAACACTACCGCCACTGCCACCGCTACCGGCCATGCCGCAAACATTCAAGCCGCTTCCCTCGCTGCCATGCAAGCTGCTGCGATGTGGATTCTCCATTATGCCGCCACCCATGCCGCCGACATTGATGCCAACAACGCCGACACCAACACCAACACCGACGCCGACACCACCACTGGTGGATGGTCCCATGCGACAGCTGCCGATAAAAACGCTGCCACCACTACCACCGCTGCCGCCGCCCGAATCATCAGTGGTGGTGGTGTTTGTTGTTGTATTCATTGTATTATGACAACGACTTGAACAGCGTCCCAACGAACCGCTGCCACCGCTATGATGACCACTCATACCAGCAGCGCCAATCATGCCCATACCCATGGCCACACCAATACCGCCACCGCCACCACCGATCATATGGCCAGCATGACTGCTGCCAATGCTCATGCCGCCAATGCCATGTACACCACTAACGCCGCCAGCAATGCCGCCACCCATTGTTGAGCCGCAGCCTTGACTCGAGTCTGAACCCGAATCATGACCCGGACAAGCGCCAGCTGAGCCGGGTCGTGAACCGATCAAACTCATTGTGGAATGTGGCGGCGTTATCGATGTCGATGTCTGCATATAATGATGCGTATAGGGATGCGGATGCGGTACATCATAGTCGCCGGTATCAATTGCGCCCGAGAGCATGCCGACGCTGCCGCTGGTGCTAGCGCCACCCATGCCACCGCCAATGCCACCGGCGCCCATCAAATGTCCCATGCTGCCCTGCAGACAGCCCATTGAACCATGTGCGCTGCCGGTTCCGCCGCCGCCACCGCCATAGCTGCCGTGATGACTACCACCATGAATGCTACCGTGAGCGCTACCGCTGCGGCTGTGCAGTGAGACGCCGCGCGTCAACGTGTTATTAGCCGATTGTATGGATGAGACGACGGCGCCGCGACACAATATATCCGACAGTTGATTGGCCTGCAGACCGAAATATTTCGACTAAGCATATCGTGGTATCATAAAAATTGGGTAACGAAATGTCGATGGAGTTGATTTCGCATGAAATGGTCGCCCAAAGCATGTTTTATCAGATTTTTTTTTTAGTGTTCCAATCGATGAGCGCCGATGAAAGTTGTCAATGAGGAATGTTGAATCCATGCAGCAATTAATGAAATGTTTTATTGAAATTGAGTGTGTGTGCCTATTACTAATGGGTTCATATTTACGACTAAGTCTAAATTTGTGGCGGATTTGTGATTTCATACATATTTACTTTCTTCAATTTACGACCATCAAAAGTTGGTTTATGTGCCGAGAAAATGGTTACCACGGAAGTTATCATAACATAAATCCATATACTTGTGTGGCAAAGCGCCGGTTGTAGGTGTTCGTAATAGCTGAGACAATAGACAGTTCAAAAGACTACGTGGCTGTCAGTTTTCAGCGCAATTTAAGAGTAATTGGACGAAGTTTCGGCATCGTTTCGTGACCGTCGACGAAAAGTGAATCCACTGCTAGACACCAGAGATCAAGGAATAGTCAAAATAGGGGACTTCACCGTCGAACCTGCTTCCAAAAATGTGATGACTATTCTATCGGCCGAAAAGGTGAAGACCAACCGTATTCTCCAGATTTGGCCCGAGTGACATCTATTTGTTACCAAACTATTTGGTAACAAACTGGTCTAGGAACGTTTAGTCAAGAATTTCTCGCAGCCACAAATAGAATTTCAAATTTTAGATTTGGAAAGAAAATTAATGTAGAAAGAAATCACAAGTCCGCCAAATAGCAACTTGATAAACTAGTTTTTTTCAAGTCTACGATGCGTGTATGAAGATGTCGGTGAGTAACTACAACTACAATGCTGCTGACTTGTTTAAAATATGCGTCTTCCGCTTCACCATTACATGCACTTACCTGTGGACTATCTAGCCGATCCAACGATTGCCGCCGCGACGGATAATCATCCAAATTGAGTATTTGCTGTGCGGCCGGACAATTCTTATTCGAATGCTGATGCAAATGTTGTTGCGACGATGTTAATTGTGGCGGCGGTGGCGGTGTAATCGAGCCGCATGGACTACCCGGACACGGACTGCCCGGGCAGGGACTACTGCAGCGACTGCGACACGTTGGACTATAGCAGAGATTCGCTTGCGTGCCGGATGGTGTATTCGGGCAAGTATTCGAGTTGCCACCGCCGCCACCACCACCGCTGCCGTTACCGCTATTGCTGTTATTTGCCGAGGCCGCAGCGGCTGCTGACGCATTTTGCGTGCTATTACAGGTGTTATCCTCTTCTTGTTGCATCAAATTCACCGGTAACGGTGTACATTGCGTGTTGCGTCGTGGCGAACGACCACGATCTACTGTGGTGGCGCTCCAGTAACCCCAAGCCATGTTGCGGTCAAATACGCTTGCGTGTTGTTGCTGTTAAAACAACGACGATTACGCACTTATTGTTTGAGTTAGGGTAGGGGTTGTAGAAAATTTTATTTGTATTTTTTTTTTTTAAGTTATATTGCACAGCGCTGTTTTTTGTTTGTTTTTAATCACTGATTTCTTTAATCACACTTCGGTTTTTGTTAATACGATTTTTCTATAATAAATATTATATTATATATGTGCAGCCTTAAAAAAATTAGAACTTTTTGTAATACTTTTTATTTATGCAGTTGATGCATGTCGTATAACAATTCTTGGTAAGAAAATCGCTCATACGACATGGTGCACGAAAGTTGCTGTAGTATAAATGTTACTCATACCACATGTGGTACACAAACACGTTTTTATTATAATTTATATTTATTAAAACGAATATGAATAGGCTATAAAATTAGATTTCAAAATTTTTATAATTTTTCCTAAAAATTTTAAAAAATAATATTAATTGGTTTCTGCATTTTTTTTTTTTTTTTTGAAAATGGCTTTTTATAACTTCTGTAGTACGCAAACTTTTTTTAATTATAATTTATTTATTTATTAATTATTATTTTATTTTTATTTATTTATTATTATTTTATTTTTATTTATTTATTATTATTTTATTTTATTTTTATTTATTTATTAATTATTATTTTATTTTATTTTTATTTATTTATTTTTATTTATTTATTTTTATTCATTTATTATTATTTTATTTCTATTTATTTTAATTTTCAATATCGCTCATACGCCCAGTAGCATTAGAAAAAATAGCAAAAACTACGCCAAAAACAATCATGGAAGTTTGTTATACTTGACTGCAGTCACACCTTGTTGGCATGTGACACCATATGAAATGTCCAAAGAAGCAACGAAGAAAAACAAATAACACATAAAAACTGTCGAACAAGCAAAAACAGATGCTATCCTACAGGCCGTTAATTTAGACAACAAAAATATGGAATGAACAAGAAAACTAAAACCAAAAAAATATAAACTAAAATATATATGCTGCGAAACCGGGTGGATGGTATACTTAAGGAGAGGCAGAGTGACAAAGAGAAAGAGAGAGTGTTTGAAGGACATAGAGAGAGAGAGAGAGGGAAGAAGAAAATATAGAGTTTGAAATTAAAGAGTTTGCTCAGATATTAAAGCAGAGTTGCCAAACCACAAAATTTCGGGAGCAACAACATATTTTTACAACGCCAATATTGCGAGAATATAGAACTTAGTAAAAAAAAATCGAAATAAATTAATTTTCGTAATAAAACGTTAAAAAAAGATTTTTCAAACACTTCTTAATAAAAAAAAACAAAACTCCAACCCCAAATTAGAATGAGAAAATTCGGCAATTGGTTAAGCAAAACCAAAACGAGAGAGCACCACTAGAGAGAGACTGTGAGCATGCATATGCGAAAGCAGCGTATGCTTATGTGCACAAAAAAATATGTGTTCAGCTAGAGCCATAGATAGTTAATAAATAAAATATACATATGTTGCAAGCCTCACAAATTTCGTGCGATTTTTGCCAGCACTGCTCAGCTATTTTTCATTTTATTAAAAAGAATTTCCAGCAACTTGAAATTATGGGAGAAAAACACTACGAAAATTGTGTGCAATAAAAAAAATTTTTAACAACAATATTTTAGGGTGTGGTTCACTCACAGCAAAACAAAATTTTTTATAAAAATTACTTTTACATAAAATTTGAAAGAGCAACAAAATAATTAATTTTTATCAAACAAACATTTTAAGTAAAAATAAATATTTAATTTACAAAAAAAAAACTATCACAAATTTCTGCACAATAATACTTCCAAAAAAATTTATGTTTTTATTAAAATGCAATTAGCATAACTCCAACTTAAATTATCATTTTCAATACTATTCCATTTAATTATTATTTGTTTAAAGCGCCAGCAAAAAAGGCTGAATTCCCAGGTTTACGATTCTATTGACGTCAACAACGTCGACAGCAAAGCGCCAAGCGCCAAAGGAAGGACGCCCAAGCACTTAAAACAGATGATGTTGGCCAAAATGAGTGAAGCGAGAAAAACAAAAAAACACTTACACACACACACACACACACACAAATATATCTAAAAGGCAAGTAAATAGAAATATACTTGTAAACATTGGTTAGAAAATTTGTATACAAACAAATAACTTCTGTCGCAGATTTCATTCGTATGCATTGATTGGTTTGTGGCAAGCGAAATTTTTCCAGACGAATGCATTTAAGTGTCACTTCAACCTCAACTATATGTGCTATAGGTAAGTGTATATCTTTTAGTGAAGGTGAAAATGGCAAAGTTAAAACTATTTTTTTGGCATTTATGGAATTTTTGGAAGACTTAGAAGATCAAATTTTTAAATTGATTTTTTTATTTTTAGAGAGGGACCACCTCTTTGGTATTATTTTAAAAACTAAAATCTTGCTCAAATCAAACTACAGTGAGAAAGAAAAACACCTCATCCATAATAAGCTTAAGTTTTTTAGCTTTATCTAAACTAATTTTTGAAACCCAAATCTGCATAATGCTCATATGAACTATTTTTTAGACTTTTTCGAAAAATATAGAACACCGGAGGTCTCTTAATTGAAGCAGAACGATACGACAGAAAGCTTGTTATATAACCACATTACTGCTAGAAATCTTTAGAAAGAAGATTGCATTCAAAAATTTTACTCTGTGACATCAACCAAGTTCATAAGCTTCAACACAAGTTTTGGTTCACACGAACAAGTAAAACAATAAAGGCGTAGTTAGCTACTAATTTTAAGACTGTTTTCTTTGTAATCTGAGCTACTAGATCTAATGAAATAAAACTCAAAGTTATTATCAAAATACTATGAGGATGTAGAACTACATTGTATCAGCTGTTAATATTATTTGCTGAATAACCTAATTCTAGGCAGCTACTGCTGCTTTTAATTTTGGTGCTGTAAGTATTATATTTTATTCTACTTTAAGGAGTAAATATCAGGCATTATATTAAAAAAATTACAAAATAACTCAAGTTTAGTTTTCGCGAAGAAAAAATTCTAAATCGGTGGTTGAAATCCATAATTTTATATATCGAAAAAACAACAAAACGGTCTGACATAATGGCCTTAAACCAAGGGATTAATCATTAGCAGTCACACAGAATTTTTTACCACATTAATAGGAACTGTATTGCAAACTCCAACTTTATATCTCATGAAGTCTTTTGAGATCAAGCGAAGAAGCTAATGACCGTTCTAAGCAAAGCAAACAAAGCGTTGTTTCTATAAATTTATATATAAATTATTTTAAATAATTTAGCAGTCAATCAGAGTCACAAAAGTGTTTCTTTCTGAAGTGCAGAATAATTTTGGAAGCAGAAGCATCGTTAGAACCCTTAAATATATTACCTGATACTTGGCTTGCATATATTTTTGTAACACACTACCACAACGATAAAAAAAAACCCAATCGACAATTAATCTGCATAAATATGTTCGGTGTCCAACTCATCAATTCTTCACGTTATTGGCGTGACCCTATTACGCATTTACCAGCACCCACAGAGGCACTAATATGCGCTAAAAAATAGCATAACATACCAACCAACCCAACGGGATAACACATATTTAAGTGAATATGAGAACCCACTACATTTTCCACGGTAAACCCAATAGGCGTGATGAGCGGGTTGTATACTGTTACAAGTAGGCATGAGACGTTGAGAAGCCGAAAAGGTAACGAGCCAATACGTCAGTTGGGCGTGAGGACGAGAGGGTGAGCCAAAATGTATCGTTAAATGAGCGCACAGGATAAGCACGACGGCATACATACATGCACACATACAGATGTGCGAATGTATTAGTAAATATATTACAAAAAGCGATTTATATATTATTTATGCGGAGAAAACAAAAAGAAATTAGTACTAAAATGAGGAGTGAAAACGCCAATACAACGTTCAAGCTGAAATTTAAGCCGAGCGGCAAAGGAAATGCGCACAAAAATGAAACAAATAAACAGCGGCAGAAGAGGACCACTACTGCGGCCACTCGAGCGTTCATTCTCAAAAGGCAGTCACGATTGAGATTTTTTTGTTGTTGATTTTTTTTTTTTGTTTTCTTCTTAATTGGAAAAGGAGGTGAAATGCTCGTAAAATAAAACAGAAATGTTACGCTATAAAGGTTGTGTTGGCTAAATTCTGAAAAAATTAATACCTTTTAAATGGAACGAAGTGTTTGGAGCAAAAGAGGCCAAAAAGAACGAGAATGTAGGCGATGTGGTGGATTCGGTGAATCGATTTGCAATTCGCGCAACATAAAAGTGCACATAAAAAACGGTAAGTTTAATGGGTAGTACCAAATGAGTTAAAACCTCGTTGATTTTGGCTCATTTCTTACATAAAATCAAATATGATGAAAGAGATAAAAAAAAATGCTTGATATAAATGTGAAAATATGCCTAAAGTAGGGTAGCATAAAATAAGGTTAAAACTGCAACAATACTCGTTTAAATATCAATATGAAATTTAATTATGAAAATGAAAAAGTATGGGAAAAGTTAGACACAGCATCTAGGTGCCACCACGTGCTGCCAATGTGCAGAAAATCGCTCTCAAAGGAGAAAAAAAAATAATCTTAGTAAGCTTTTCGGCTAATTGAGACCGGCGTGTACCGTCAGCAAATGAATTCTTGTGAGACGTTTGCATGACTTCCAAAACTGTATAAATCAAATATTTTATAACAGTATTGGGAATTGCAGATATTAAAAAAAAATATTATGAAAAAATTAAATCTTTTATATAAACATGGTATGTTTTCAAGACAGAAGTGAAAATTTTGAATTAGCCTAAATGTATGCTATAAACAAAAAGTACGCCTAAAAGTATACTACTGAAATGTTTCTAACTTGTGGAAAATTACGTTTAATTTTTGATAAACATTTTTAAAAATTTAGGTACACGATTTCATTCATAAAAAATATATTTCGAGCCTAAATGTATGCTATAAATAACTGCCATTATTTGACGAACTTACTCAATTCTGACTCACACTTAGTGATTTAGTATCAAACAAAAATTATGATTATAAAGTGATTTTAAAAAACTGGAAATTTTTTTATATCCGCCTAAAAGTAGACTACTAAATTTGATCAAAATTGTAGGAACTATTTCACGATTAATTTCTGATTAAAAATATTAAAAATTTAGATGACTTTGATTTAAAAAAGTTTTGAAAAAAGCCTAAATGTATGTCATAAATAGCTTCAATTAATTGACAAACTTACTTAATTCTGCGTTACAGTTTCGTAAAAATTTTCAAAAAATAGTTGAGAATTTTCTAAACGCCGCCTAAAAGTAGACTACTAACATGAATAAAAATTGTACACGATTAATTTTTGATCAAAAATGTTACAAATTTACATGATTTTTTCATCAAAAAATTTTTGAAAAAGCTTTCAAATTTTTAAAAAAAAAATTTTTAATTTTTTTCAATACAAAAATATTTATTTTAACAGCTGACAATAACAAAAAAAATTATTTGAATATACATATATGTATATGTAGTGCAAACCTGCAGCAGCGTGAGCAAGATTACAAACTCATGCAGCCACATCCAGTACTAAAGTCAAGGACATCTTTGGTGATAAATTACAAGCAAAGAAGGCGGAGGTCAGTCGACAATTCCAAATGCTTCGCAGGCGGACAACAAATGCGTTATATGAGGGCGGGCTATGTGCTACAAAGGTGAGTGTGTAAATATATTTGTATGTATGTGTGTATGTAAGTGTATGGCATTCGTTGTAACACTCGGTACAAATGAACGCGAAAGAAACTTGATTTCAAAGTAAACGCCCAGGGTATTGCTGCTTTAGCTGTCTGTGACTGTGTTATAAATATATGAGATATACGATTTGACAGGCAAAAGCGAATTGCAGTGGGAATATCGAGAAAAAATATATAATATAGTATAGAAGATTGCATAGCAAATGTGTAAAACTGAAAATTATATAATATATTAACTTAAAATTCTTTCACCTGTTTAATTAATTTTATTTTTTTATTTTTATTATTTCTATTTTTTTATTATTATTTTTTTTTTAATATTTTTTTTTTTTTATAATTTTTTTTATTTTTAATAATTTTTTAATAATTTAATTTTTACATTTTTGATTTTATATTTATTTATTTATTTTTTATTGTTTAACAATTTAATTTTTGTTTTTTAATAGTGCAATTTTTCTTTTTTAAAAAATCAATTCTTGTTTTTCAATACAATACAATAATTTTTATTTTTATTTTTTTTAACATATTTTTTTTAATTATTTTTTTTTTTTAATTTCAGTTATCGTGTTTTCTTGTCTGCTGCTCTGTTTGCTTTCTTAAAAGCATTTTTAAACGTTTATTTTCCTTTCGATACTTTAAAACCCATCGTCAAAGTTGTTACGCGTCCCTGTATTTGAGTTGCTGACCAAGTCAGACCCCGATTTCTTTTTATTTCTTATTCCATTTTTTTACTTTTGCAACAACGCGCTTATGCAAAACCGCCATCGATTAGCGTGAAAATGTAACGAAACGAAAGCCGCCCGGATATCGCCACATACACACACGCACAAACACTTGCCATTATATGTAAGCGAAACATAGGCTTAGACAGACAGCCGAAAAGTATGCAACGCTTGAAAATTTCCACTGATTTACATTTCTTGTTACTTTTCAGCGTTAATTTTGCGCAATGCACATAGAATCTTTTGCACTTTGGCCGTTCAATTCATCATGTGAACACTACAACTTGGCACAACGCCTAAAAGTAGGCACTCGTTTTAATCAATACACAGCCACACCAACGCAGGCGTGTTTTCTATATAATTTTAACAGAAATTATTTCGCGTGAAAACGCCTTTTTCAACCAAAAACCACACTGCACACGTAGAGATATGTTCCAGAAAAAAACTATTTTTTTTTTGTTTAAAAATCACACAAGAATTTTGAAAAGTATACCTCAATAAAAAAATAAAGCCAGTATCGGTGTATCGCAATTTGCCCCAAAGCGCTCACGAAACGTCCATTTTCAGCTGAAACCCGTGCGCGAATGTGCGCCGAGACGATGGCACACGGAGTGCCTAAGAGTGTTTTTCGGTGCACAGCGGAGACGCGGCAACAACAACAATGAATACAACAAAGCTAAAGGCAACAGCAGCAACTTCGCGAGCGCCCAAGCAATGCTAAGTGATTTCGCTTGTGAGAGCAGCGCTCAGCACACATACGGTTTGTACATACATATGTGTATGTGTATGTATGTATGTGTGTGTGTTAGTGAGTATATGCGCACTTGTAAGGACATGTATGACAGCAAAAACAAGCAATAATAGAGCAGCTAGCAAAAGAACATTGAATTATTCAATGTCAGTCAGTCAGAGCCAAGTAGCAAAGCCATCAACAACAGCCAAACACAAACGCACACATGCACAGGCAACTTACGAACCTCGTTACTCAACCACAAGTGCAGGCGCGTTGGTGGCAAAACTGCTGCAATGCAAATAAAACACTCATCATAAAGCATTCCGTCTGTCATTCACGCAGCAAATGCTTATTGTGTGCGCTGCTCGCATTGGCACTGAGCGAACGATGCGCACTCGGCAATATCAGCATGCATGTGTGTGTTGGTGTGTGCATCTTTTAGGCGCTCTTCGCGTGGTTGGCATGGTGAGCAAATGTAGGCAAACATATGTGTAATTACATGGAGACACATGTGTGTGTGTACTTGTTGTTGTATTTGCTTTAGCTGCCCACAAAGCCGCAAGCTCGCCTGGGCGTTTTGTATATTTGATTGGAGGCGACGGCGCCTAAACAACCGTTAGGCGAGCACCAAGCTGCGCTGTGGGCAGCGTTCAAAGTTGAGGTGTATGCTGACGCTTACCGTTATGTGACACACAACAGCATTATGCCACAAAGCTCAGCATAAAAGCAGGCGCAGTGGACACAAAAACAGCAATAGCAACAACAACAACAAATGAAGTAAAAAAAAGTGTGTGGTGTGTGTGTAGCGATTGAGCGGCGAAAAAAACCTAAGCTGCAGCACAAAAAAAACAGCAAATACAATGCGCCCCAGCGACAGCATGCGAGAGCGCGACGACAGGGTGAACACAAAGAACTTTGCAAGTACTGCGAGAGTCGCTAGCGGAAACTCCTTTTTGCCAGCGTGCACAAGCATACGTACACAGATGTCTTGTATGTGTGTGTGTGTGTTTGTATGGTTGTGCGTGCGCTGCATTGGCAGCCAGCCAATACAAGTTCAGTGTGGCACCTAAAAACCAAAAATATGCAATGCAGACGCATAGTTGCACAGCGCGACACACTTACCAGATGTTTCGTAGGTCGCTACTCATTGCTGACCGCTTAATGTCATTTAGCTTAATTAAGGTGGGTTGGAGATTTTTAAGCACCATCGAATGATTTCTTCTTTAAAATTTCGAAAATCTAGTAATTTTTCGAAAAATATATTAAAAACAACACAAACAAGTGGTTGTGTTAGGGCTAATAGGTAGATTTTTGAACAACTTCTGCCAATAAACATATCAAAAGTAGTTCTAGTTTAGTAACTAAGTATATAAACAAGTTTTTCATACAAGGGCTTAGGTTTGCTAGATCAGTTTGTATGGCAGCTATATGCTGTAGTGCTCTGATCTGAAAAATATATGCGAAGATTGTAGCGATGCCTTGAGCCATAATCTGTGCCAAAGATTTCGTAAAGATAACTCGTCAACTAAAAATATTTTCATACATTTTGATTTTGAACCTTCACTTTGTATGGCAGCTATATGCTATAGTGGTTCGATATCGGCGGTTTCGACAAATAAGCCGCTTCTTAGGGAGAAGAGGACATAGGCAAAATTTCAATTCGATATCTCAAAACTACGAATTTTTGCGAATTTATTTAACATATAATTTCTGTGGAATAAAATTGTTTCACAACATAAACAAATTATATCATAAGCTGGTTGAGAATTACAGACGCTTTTACTCTAAACGAACAAAATAATTAAACAAAAAGTTAAAAAACTTGTTTGGCGTGTTTTACCACTTATTCCAGGGTGACCATTGATGTTAAGCGACAAAATGTAGCAGGGGTCCAACAAGTTTTCTAGCAGATAGTATCTGAGTTCAGGTATATCTCTACTTTCTTCATTGAAAATTTTATAAATATTCTCTGCTCACAATAATTTGTTGCTCATGATCGCAATTTATTCGGGTTAACATCTCGATCAAGATAGTTTTCAATTGCCAATTTATTCCGAAAGTCTAAAAGACATATTTCCGAGCGACAAGCAAAGAACTGGGTAATGGTAAAAATTCTAAATGGACAGCTGACGCACTCTAAACAGCACTGGTTAAACTTTTACAGGCCTCTAAAAAGTATTGAAAAAAACAAAAAAAAAATAATAATATGGAAACTAAGCAATAAATGTGTGGTTCAAAAAGGTTCAAAGGACTTGTGGGAAACTTGATTGTAGATTAAATTAGTTTCAGAAAATATATCTCAAACGCGGTTTTTTAACAACTGTTTAAAAAATATCTGCAAATAGACTGAAAAATACAGCAAATTTTTAAATCATAATGGCAACACTCGCAACTTACAAGCTTACACAACAGATAAACACACAAACGTACAGCCGCTTTCTATGCGGCATAGGGGATAATACGTATAAAATCTGGTCAGCTGAGAGCCTAGAATTTAGTATAGGCGAAGTATATGTAGAACGGATTATGCGTAGGAAGGAAACACGAAGGAATCGCTCCACTTTTCCGCTTGTTTTTGTTTTATGGATAACACGAAGCGTGTTCAACTCGTACCAGACATGCGTGCATTGGACTAAAAATTGAGTACGCTCACGCGGCAACTCACACTGGCGCTCTATTGCGCCTCACGCGCGCTCTCATTTCAAGCAGCACGCTCGCCTACAGCTTCGACTTCAATTTTCACTCGCACACCTGGTCGCTGCCGATAATATAATGGAATATAATGATATACACGTATAATCGCCACTTTGGAGTGGATTTGTGAGAAATCGAAATACATTTAATAGGTATTATCGACCAGTTAAAAGAAAAGGGCATATATATACACATATAAACACACATATGTACATATATTTGTATAGAAGTAGGACAAGGCAGTGTGGGGAGTTGTTGAGTTTTCATTGCGCAAAGTGAGAACTAACAATTTACTGCATGCAACTGCACCCAATTTACTTTGTGCTATAGAATACCGTTACTGCAGTGAGAGCGCACCCAACTCAAACCTTCCTAGAAACCAAGGCAGTGACGAAATTTTAGCTGCACCTTTTGTTTTTGTTATTTTGTGAAAAACTTTAGTGTCATTGCAAGTTTAAAAGTTTCTGCCGCTCTTCCACCGCACCTTTTCCTCTTCTCCTCTTCTAAAAATGTAGTGGAGCGCATGCATTGGCGTACTTCTGCGCGTTGGGAGTCAGCTCCCGAGTGTGGCCATTAATAATGCAATGGCATGACACGACGCGCGTACAATTTCGTTGCGGCTGGCAGGCAACGGCAGAGCTCAGCTGCGGCAGTGACAGGATAATCGGGAGACAAGTGGATGAGATATGCTGAACTATAGAAATTGAAACAATTGAGGTTAGTAACAGCAAATTCAACAGCAGCAGCGACAGCAACGCGAAAAAAAAGAGGACTAATGCGACAGTTAAACAAACAAACAAACATGCACACACACTTGCAACATATTTGCATATGTGTGTGTGTGTGTTAACACGCAAAGTGCATGGCACGGAAATGGGTATATGGTTTAATGCAGCGTTAAATTTAATCGTATTCCACTTAACTATTGAGTGGAAATAATACAATCAGCTGGGTATCCAGTGAGTTTGCTGGATTTAAAAGTAGACAAGATTAATTGGAAAGTTTTGAAGTTGAGCTGAGTAGAATTGAATTTGTAAACAAGATAAAACTTTAACTACGCTTGCAACGCAGCTATAATACCCTTTACAGTTGCATTTCTTATAGCATAAAAGGGTATAAAAAGATCCTTTTTGAGATTTGGAACGACCAGTTTGTATGGCAGCTATATGTTATAGTAGTCCGATCTGAACAATTTTAAGGAGATTGTGGCGTCGTTTTGAACAACAATCTGTGCTGAATTTTGTGAAGATATCTCGTCAAATAAAAAAGTTTTCCATACAAGGACCTGATTTTGTTCGCTCAGTTCGTATGGCAACTATAAGCTATAGTAGACCGATCTGAACAATATATTTGGAGATTGTAGCGTTACCCTGGACAAAAATCCATACCAAATCTCACAAAGATATCTTATCAAATAAAAAAGTTTTCCATATAAGGACTTGATTTTAGCTTGATCCCATAGTGGCACGATATCGACGGTTCCGACAAATTGAGAAGAAAAGGATGTGTGCAAAATTTCAGATCGATATCTCAAAAAACAGAGGGACTAGTTCGCGTATATACTCATACAGACAGACAGACGGTTATGGCAAAACTGATTCAGCGCGTTTCTTTCTGTGTATTACAAACTTCGTGGCAAACTAAATATACCTTGTTCCGAGTATATCCGAGTGCTAGAAAACGGAGTGGATGCAGTTTTGTATACCTCCAAGAACTGCCAATTTAGTAGCATTGCTGAAAAATATTTTGTGAAAGTCTTCTACCCTCACAACAACAACAGTAACCATCATAACAGTTCGATCATGAAATCTACATTTCAGCTTCCTGACACTAAGCGAAGCCCACCATTCTAGGCCTCTGGTTCTTATTGAAGATGCCAAATTTTCAGATCCATTATTAAGCCACTTTTTGAGAAAAAATCCGTGGTCAATTTTATACTACTGTTGAGACAGTCTCTCTCTCTCTTTCTCTCTCAATTTTTTAACATCTACAAAATGGAGAGAATATAGAAAGGCTGCTGATCTGTTGTATTAGTAGAGAGCTTCGAATTCCCAGCGAATCCATCGTATTCTCTGGAACCGGCCTCGAACGAATTTTTTCCGTTATAAGAGCTCAAGAGACTGCTCGATGGAAAAAGAGTAATCAGCAATGCTGAGGTAAACTACTTTACCGGATTTTATACGACCAAGTCTCTGTCTCTTCGCCGATCAAGCCGTATATCTATACGGTTTACGACTGTCACAGCGGAAGTATCGTTGAGAAAACTGACAAATCTAAGTATGATGGATGGATGGCAAACAGATTATACTATTAAAGCTAGTTAGTGAGATTTCAATAAAGCTAAAGTCCAGATTTAAAAGCATTTATTACTAAATTTCTCAAAATCAGCAAGTTTAAGCTTCGTTTTTTTGAAATCACATGCAGTTTTGGCATTGCACACAGCCGGCAAACGACTACAGTAGTTATAGACTGAGTATAATTTCCATGGCGAAAATTTACTGTTATAAAAAGTGAATCAGCTGCCAAGCTATTGTATTTTTAAACATCCTTCATAACATAAATTATTAAAGGAAAAACCGCTGATGACACCATTTACGGGCGTTTGGCATAAGCCAGCCAAGTGATATCAAAGTAAATGACACACACACATGCATACACAAAGGCAGGCAAGTAGCGGAATGCAAAGCTATATATATGTATGTATGTATGTATGTTTTTTTAATGGGGAGAAAAGCGCAATATCAGCACTAAGCGCTTACATATTCTGATGAGCCTTAAGGCCACAAAAACAGCAGAGGCAATAACAGGCATGGGCACAAGTAAAATTACAAAAACAAATGCAAAAAAAAAAATTAAATGTTAAAAAAAAAAATACAAAAAAAAAGGAGGAAAAATACAAAAAAAAACTTGCAAAAAACAAAATTACAAAAACAAAAAAATTGCAACAAAACAAAATTACAAAAACAAAGTGGCAAACAAAGAACTGCAATGTCAAAAGTTGAGCATAAGTATAAAGGAACAGGCGAGCAATAAATTACTAAGAGGGTGATTATAAACAAAATAAGGCGATTTGACAATAATAAAAGAATCGCGAGGAAAACAAAGAAAAATCATTGAAGGATATGCTGCTATCGCGACATATGGCAACACATTAAAATATATGTATGTATATCTAAACTCCGCCATAATTCAAATGCTGCAAGAGCTGCGCTTGTCGCAGTGGAGAAATCATTTCAAATACCTGCTACTAAAGCACTAAAGTACTGCTACTCACATATACACATATGTAAATAACCAGCTATGTACATATGCATATGTATACACTTAGTTCAACACAAATATGCTATAACGGCACATTTTAAATTGAGTTTTCGCCACTCAGCTAAAACAGTTGAGGACAAATCATTTACACAGCGCCGGAGTGGGTGGCAATTGCTTGTAATCTCACTTTCATTTCAGCCATATATGCGTTATGTGCCCATTACATTGTTTGCTATACTCATACACATAATTATATTTTGAGTATACATATAGTCGCACACATTTACACGTACTAATAATTTAAAATAAAAATGGAATTACTGAAAGGATATGCGTGTAGTTTGTTATTTATGTAAGCATATTTATATAACGGTGCTTTTAAGGCTTCAATTGTAGTGCGGCGCAACTATACAGCCAGGTATTGCATTAAAATATTATTTATATAAGCGTGTTTAAAATTTTTATTGTTAAAAAAAAAATTTTTTTAATAGTGGGAATACATACAAACGCAGCTTTAAATATAAAAGAATGCTTTCACAGAGTTTTTAATAAAAATATTTATAGAGAGAGCGCTACATTGGACAATAATACCTTTCCCACGACAATCGGGTCTACGTAACCGGAACGGAGCCAGATTTTATCCGGCCAAGGACTGTCAACTGGGCAGAATTCTTCCGCTACAATAACAACAACAACATATATGCCAAATCTTATGAAGATATATTGACAATTAAAAAAAATTTCCATATAAGCACTTGATTTTGTTTGGTCAGTTTGTATGTCAGCTATATGCTATAGTGGTCCGATTCAATCAATATGTTCGAATATTGTAGCGCTGCCTCAGATAATAATCTACTCCAAATTTCTTAAAGATATCTTATACAATAAAAAGTTTTCCATACAATAACTTGATTTTGATCAAACAGTTTGTAAGGCAGCTATATGCTATAGTGGTCCGATCTGAACAATTTCTTTGGAGATTGAAGTCTTGTTTTATACAATAATCCATGAGAAACTTCGTGAAGGTATCTGGTCAAATAAAAAAGTTTTCCATACAAGAACTTGATTTGGATCGTTGAGTTTGTATATCAGCTATATGCTATAGTGGTCCGATCTGAACAATTTGTTGGGATATTGTGGCATTTATTTGGACAATATCCCACGCCAAATTTTGTAAAGATAAATTGTCAAATTAAAAAGTTTTCCATACAAGAACTTGATTTTGATCGAACAGTTTGTATGGCAGCTATACACTATAGTCATCCGATAGCGACGGTTCCGACAAATGAGCAGCCTATTGGCGAGAAAGGAATGTGTGCAAAATTTCAGTTCGATATCTCAAAAACTGAGGAGCTAGTTCGCGTAAACCATCAGATTTGACCCGGACAAAATAAGAAAACTATGTACATTCATCACGTATTATACAAGAGATCTATATTATCACTCTCAAAATAAGCTCCTGAATCATTGCAACTATGCTAACGCTTAATGCAATTTCCCATATACTTGTTATAAGCCTGAACTGGGATGGCCACCTGTGCCTTCAGCGAATTTTGGTTTTTTCGGTTTCGGCTTATTTTTGGAGCGCCATTCGCTAGTTTTTTTTTTTTTTTTTTTTTTTTGACAGTTTCGTTGTCGCGTTCATAAACCTATGTCTTATCCACAGTAATGATGCATTTGACGAATATAAGATACTCAGCTAGGGCACAATAGACCCTAGGTCGCAGTGCATACCTCATTTTCAAATCTAAGATACTCAGCTCATCTCTTTTGAAACCTCTACTCGAAGTCGTTTTATCCATACTTTATCTCTCTGATGTCAACGAGACGATATTTAATCACTGTTCCTTTAACTTTTTCGATATTAACGTCATTAACAAAGGTGGATTAACGACTCGAATGCCATTCCCACGGCAGTCGGGTCTAACTAACCAGAACAAACCCAGATTTTAAACCGGCCAAGGACTGTCAACTTGGCACCATTCCTCCAAATTACTTCAGGAATGTTTTCTGCAGCTACAACAACAACAATGACTCGCATGAGGCAAGTTTTCGCTAAATTCACGACCTTCACTGCAAGGTTTGTGCACTTAAATACTTGTGTTCGTTGTGTTCGTGTTTTAATGGGCCAGTCCGGGTCAAATTTGATCATATGTGTAAATACACGATACAGCACTTCAATTAACAACTGAAGCAATCGTCTTTAAGAAAAAACATATCTCCGATGAAACTTAATTACTACTTATAAATATATATATAATATACATATGTATGTATGTACGACAACGTAATTGTATTAAATAAAACTATACAAGCTTACGCGTATGAAAAAATATTTCCATGAACTGTATTTGTCGGCGAATTAAAAGCAACTACACCAAAAAATTTAGATTAAAATAGATAAAACGGCTGATATCAATTCGTAAAGATAACACACTTATATACAATACATACATATATACTGTTAACAATATGCAGATCTTATCTCGAAATAAAGGAGAGGTGTATAAATGTGTTCTATTTTATTATAGTTTGGGATTTCCTAACAATAGCAACAACAACAATAAAACTAGTGGAAGTTGATAGCAGCGCTTTATGCCACTTTACTCTAACTTAACTTCTGTCTTATAACAAAAAAAATACTCACCATGTATAACCAATTCGGAATCACGATTTATTTCGTACAAACGTATAGCTTCGTCCAATTCCATTTGCGTTGATATCGTGCACGGATCATTCTCTTCGTCCACCCACTTGATGGTGAAGGGCTGCAAGGAAGTTTGAGAATTTTTAAATAAATATTTAACAAAAATTGTATGTTATCACTTACTTGATCGGTTGGAAAGCGGCATATACCGCGTATCTCATGACATAAATTTTCATAAGTGATATTTTCATCTATGTAAGTGATCATTATTTCGCCATTGTAGGCAGTTTTGACTTTAATCTCATTGGTGGCACTGTTGGCATTTGTGCCGTCCGGAATAATTTGCGAAGGCATTTTCTGCATTTGTAATTATGCGTTAAATGGATGCGTATTTCTGTGTTGGCTTGGAAAATGCGTAATGCAAAAGACTTTTTTCTTATGACTTGTAGCTTTTAGTTACAAATAAACATTGGCTGAAAAAGAGAAGAATTTATAAATTTAGTTAATTTTTATTATTAATAAATAATTCATTATTCATTTAAATAATTATTTTCCTTAGACATATTTAGATAAAAATGCACTATTAATTGAAAAATTTATTTTCAATAGATATATTTACATACAAACAATAAATTGGTCATTTTTAAATATAAAAAAATGCATTGTAAATATATTTTTTTACATCTGAGAATAATTAAGGATTTTCGGTACAATATATATATTTTTTATTAATATTTTTATATTTGTTAATAATATTTTTATATTTTTTAATAATATTTTATATTTTTTAATAATATTTTTATATTTTCCTCCATAGTTTTATGGCCCACTGTAGTATGTATGCTTCTCTGTCGCTTTACACATAAAAGATTCAAGTGGGCGATAAATACATTTGCGCTAGCAGCATCCCACCTCCCGACATCAGTATGTGTATATATTAGGAAAAAACAACAACAAAAACGTTGATGATGTTGTTGAAGTACAAAATGTAAACAAATGCGAGAATCCACAAGTGGTCATACGCGTAATGTTTATATGGTAAATATGAACACGACAGCGCGGCAAATAAGTTAGAGGCATGCAATTGTTTAACTTTATGCTAAGTGAAATTGGAATATAATTATATTTTTTATTTACGCTTAGTTATTTATTGTAAATTAACTTTTTTGCACTTTTAACACACACATTTCAACCAATGTGGCAACGCTTGCCGCAGTAATTTGACTGCCCTTCATTACTGCCTTTCGTTACCTCGCCAGCCGGCAATGAATCATGCAACAAGTTGATTTTGTTAAAATGCCTCACTGTGCTGACGCGAAACACCGAATAGTTCAATGATTAACACATTTCACATATTAGTATTTAGTACAACCACCAACTACACACAGTTAATTGATACACATTTTAACTTTTAACACATTTCATTGCAAATAATTGGCATTATGCGAAAAACTACAGCCTCTAATTATTTGCCATTGCAATACTTCTGCCAGCGAGCGTGGTGTTCCACTTAATTGATTGCATATTTTGTCGTACATTGACCACTGTTGGGTTGATACTTTACAGAATGTCGAAAAGTCGTAGTGCTTCCGATCTTTGCAACTAAGTTCTTACGGCTTATCGGTACTTATGTTACATTACTCAACTCCAATTCTTTCTTTTTAACGATTTCCTGCGTATTAGTTGTATTCTACAACAAATATTTTATGCGCTTATTCCACACCCCGGCCATGTACTTTTGGCCAATATGTATAGGTATATATGTGGACGTACTTGGTTAACTTGCCGTTTTAGGCCAAGTCTACTGTTATTTCACCTTTTTTCTACAAATTTTTTACCTTTCTTTACTCTGCATACACTTCTTTATGTTCACATTTGCCACTGCTTGGGATTCTCCTTTCTTGCCTTTCTCATTCAAAAATTTATACGAAACTGGTGTCTCAAATGTAATTAATTCGCATTATTACAATTTAAAACAACATAAAACAAAAACACAATGAACTCATATAAACAAAACTAAAATTAATTAAGATTTTTATTAGAAAGAGGCCAACAAATTTATTTAGTTAATTGGGTGAGCGGCACGACAACCGTAAACAAGATAAAACTTCGAGTGTGCAATGAAAAATGGTAGATGTGTAGAGTTGCCAGTTCTTTAGAGCAAAGTTGCATGACAATGTCAATCCAAAACCAGAGAATTTAAAATAATCTACATTCTCTGCCAAAACTAGTTAAATTTAGTTATATAAAGTTGAATACGGTTAATAGAACATATAGAAAAGGTAAAACTTTTATAACGACCGTTGTTTGATTAAACTTTCCCTGAAAAAAATTTATCAATACACATATACTCTTAAATCTAAGCCAATATCCAGCAGCAGCAGTAAGTAATAAATATGTTTTATATATGTATATTTAAGAAGAAATTAGTCAATTATTCTATATAAATTCGTATTATTATTATAATTCACGTGTACGTATAAAAATAGTTATTTTATGAAAATATCGTACGATAGTCCGCTTTTATTAAGCGAAGTTGGCAATGCGACGCATACATCCGAAATTGGCAGCACTTTTATTTCATATTTTGTTTTCCACTCTTTCTTCGATTAGAGTTGTCAGATTATTTCATCAGTCCGAAAAATTGTCTCTCCTGGAAAAGTTCACATCTGTTTTTAGTGTTGTGTGATAACAATTTATATTCTGTTATTTTCCATAAAATTATCTATTGATTGGAAATTAAATATATGAATTAATTGTATATGTAACATTTAATGTTTGTAAAAATAAACAACGAACAAGTTAAATTTGTATTTTGTGGTACAACGTAATCGTAAGGTGGACATTGACACGGGTACGTACGAAAACTCGCAACGAGTAGATAAATAGCGAAAGCGTGTGCGATTTTCGTAAATAATAGAGAAGAAAACGATTTTGATTTCTTACGATTTTCCGGATGCCAAACTTGTGGGCGTATGAAGTAATTGCTCTTAAAGCGCAAGGAATTGCTGCATCACAATAGTATAGACTGTATTACGTTAAATGCAATCGCTGTTCAAGAGTTAGATTGGAAATTACTAGTAGGAAAGATAAAATGATGTGCTAGTGCAGAAATTTAACAGCAAATTTCCAATTACGGGTTTGTGCCAAACGCCTATTGCTAATCTTAGTCAACAAACGATTTTTCATAGCAGGTGTGTACAAAAATAGACAAAATGATTCGCTTGAAACAGTTTTAAGTTAATACAAAATAAACCATTAAAATATATAAAAATAACGCAATTTTACGTCACAACCACTGTTGCTGGGCTAAGACGACGTGTGTGCATTTATATATTAACACAAAGTGTATGGTTTTTTGAAGTGCTTGCCAAAATACATATCGAAAATAAATTAGAAATATTGTTGGTAAGTGGAAACAAACATTAGTTATGCAAATTTTCTGCTTATTACGTATGTAGATAAATAAGTATACGCGATATGTATTTATAACGTATAAGCATTCCTAATCACACTACCCCTACCCAGTATGTTTCTTTGCTATTTAATAGTAATTTACATGAACACGGATATCTGCACGTAGTAGGGTAAAACTTTCAGGAATTTTCCACTGGTCACCTCCATCCGTTGTGCAATCCGCTCTTTGCCGCTATCGTTCGTGCATGAGTTAGACTCTTCCCTTTTTGTTTTGATATTTTTATTCTATTTTGTTTCCATCACTTTTTGCCGCAACCTTCGCCACTGCGGCAGCGGCTGCTGTTTACGAAGGAATGCAGGCGAAGAAAATCGATTTTCCTCACAAAAATAAAGATGATATAGAAGCAATTGAGAATATAAGTATGTATGTGTACATATGTTTAAACATATGAAGGGGATGGATGGAAATGTCGCAAATATTGCATATTGGATATTAAGTCACTTGAAGAATTTTGTAATATTTTTTGCTTGAATATAAATAATTAAAGAGTCCTTGAAAAGTTTGTTAACACAATTTTAAATATAAACTTTCTCTTGCTCTCACTTGCCAGCAACTACTGTGTATAATGATATCACTCAACGTCTGTTGAAACTTCTAGAAGTTTCAAAACGTCAGCAATTTGCATTCAATCATATTAATATATTCAAGTGTAAGTAACTGATACTCGGACTAAGGAAATTTTTAATGTGGAAATTGGAATGTCTCTTGTAGACTATCTTATGTAAATTTTTCAACCTGTTCAAAATTGGCTTTGCGGTCACGCACTTGAAAAATTATACATATATGCCGCGTTCTTTCATAAAAAATTAACCATGGAAAACGCCTAATCAAATTTTAATGGAAGAGGTTCAAATTGCTTCAAACAAAGTAGTTTTTACTACTAAGATTTGAGACTATTTACATGGAGAACTTTATATTTAAAGCGGAAAAACTTTAAAGCCTATATAAAAATACTCTTAAATATAATAAAATATTTTTTTATAACTATGTTTTGTAGTGTACACTTTGATATTATCAAAGCAAATGTTTGTTGCTTTTGTAGATGCTTGAAAAAAATATATGAGACTTTGATATTAAAAACAATTAAGTAACGTGTTTTATTTATTATAGCATTTATATAAGTGTATAGACTTACGACTAGAGAAAAGTCACTGTGACATTCAGTGAATATGATAATTTAAGCAAAGCTCTAGATATTCCATAAACACTATCCAAAAGTATCATAATTACACTCTGAACGAAAAAAAGGACAAGCGCTTAAACTATCGTTCACACATTTTCTAAAGCCGCCACTAACGCCTTACTTTATATTAATGTATGAAACTAAATGCAAAATTAAATCTCCAAACGAATAATCGCAAATGTTGTGTTGCTAAGAGCACATTTGGACTGCGGGAAATCGATCAAATTCATAATGAGCAAACATACAACAAATGCGCACAACCGTTACAATGTAAAATCATATGAAACTTTTCGCCAATATACAAAAGGCAATAGCAACAAACCGACCGACTGGCTGCCTACTCCTCTACATGTTTATCACTTTGTACATATATAGGTACATTGAGGCATATGAGTGAAATTTATCGTATCATTCCTGTTTTTCTGGCACGTTCCATTCAACGCATCGTCAGCCAGTCGGCAAGCCAATGAGCCGGTCGATTGTCTAGCCTGACGACGGTTCAGTATTGTCTGCTTACAACGTTCGTTGTTTTCTGCACTATTCACAAGTATTGTGACTGCATAACGAGTGCAATGTTCCCAACAACAATAACACAAATTGTGTGAAGAAATTAATAATAAAAAATAAGAAAACATTAACTATACCCTTCACAAATAAAAAACGATTTTCATATAAACACTTGATTTTGATCGAGCAGTTTGCATGGCAGCTATATGCTATAGTGGTTCGATATAGGCGATTCCGACAAATGAGCAGCTTCATGGGGAGATAAGAGCATGCGCTAAATTTCAGATGGACATCTCGAAAACTGTGCGACTAGTTCTCGTATATATAGACAAAAATATATTTTTACACCTCAAATTGCTTGAATATTATGCTTAAATTGATTTTGCTGTATTTATACTGACTTCACAACTAAATAAATAATGCCGTGATATATTATCAACACCTGCAAGCTAAGCTAATTATAAGATGTCCCACATGCCACACCCACCACTTCACTAGCGCACGCTACATCAACACCTCATTGCTTGTAGAAAAGCCCAACGAACGAACGTACTACGCAGTTTGGCTCAACACCTCACAGGCCAACCTGTAATTGGCTGACTGGGTGGGGTGTCGGTTGCGTGTACCTTTAAGGCCGATTAGTAACAGTTGTTATTAATATGAAACGGATTGCAGCATAGAAATTATCGCATTCAACTTTAGTCGCGCTCCCGCTCTCACACTCCGAACTATGAGTATACAAGTTTGCGCTCATTGCAGTTTTTATGAACAAACACACAAACAAAACAATGCAACTTGCTTGTCAATTCATTGATTATTACTCATTTTTCCACATTCGTCATATACTTCGTAGTCAATCGTCTGCACATAGCTCGCGTATATATGTTCGGCCGGTCGGTCGTTCGGTTGCTTCTCAATGATGGCCATGTGAAGCTCATTGCACTTTGTGCAGCAAAAATGCATGCAACTTTTTTAGCCGGCCTAGAGTGAGTGAGTGCTTGGACGCCGACGCCGTTGCCAAGAGACCTCAACAACGACGTTTTATTCACGAACATGCAATGCTGTCGAACTTGGTCAACGGACATGCGTACAAATATATGCCACAACATTCCTATGGATCCACCCAGCTGTCTGGTAGTGCAGTTTGTGGAATATAGGGTGTTTCAAGAGTAATTATGTATAGAGAGTGAAAAATTTCATTCATGTCAAAATTCAATGAAGATTTGAATTAACTGAGTTTCATAACGATTAAAAACCTTTCGAGGTAGACTTCCTCCAACACTCCTTGAAGTTATAGACCGATGGGAACTTTCAACTAAGAGTATATTATAGAAGCAACCTTAGAAATCAGTCCAACGTACACGGTTCGTTCTGCTGAAGTAAAATATAAAGTTCATTGAAGCTTGATCGCCAAAAAGTATGCTATGTTTTCATAAAATGTTACATTAATATTTATGCTACAAAACGTGTATTATTATTCAATCGTTTTTTGGATAATATAAATCTGCTGGATCCGGTCCTACAACGGTGACGTAGTGACAAGAATAGCCCCATAAATTTTCAAGTTGTCTTTTCGGCGCACTCTGTATCGATTTGCATTATTTTTGATCACACACACATATTTACATGTTTCCCTGCTGTTCATTGCCGTCGCTTTGCTATCGTTCGCAGTTATGTGGATGCCACAACAACCAGCACCACCGCGACATAGCTCATTTGTTGTCGAGATAAGTATGTATGCACAACGCACGATGCTGTTGCATGGTCCGGCTCATTCATGCCAGCTCTGGCTCTCCACAGGCGCTGTGCACAATAAGCGCGCGCGTGCTCACTCTCAAACGTTTTCTGCAATATATCTGGCCTGGGTCTACTGCAGGCATATTTTCTCTACCAATTTCTGTCTGCACTATTCACATTATTTATACATATGCACGCTTGGTTATTGTAGTTCTTGTTGTTGTTGCCAATGCTTATAATGCAACTTATAGCGTGTTTTCTTAATTTTTAATTCTAGAATTTTCCCGACAACCACCACTCTGAGTTTGCATTCGAAAGCGTACACACGAAGCGCACGACGCAGCGAGCAGCAGTACAACTACGGCGAAAATAAATCCAAAGCGTATAATAAATAATATTGGAAAATTTCAACTAATGAAGCTGAAGCTTGTGACAGCGGCCAACGACCAGTGAGCAACAACAAATAGCATTTTATTGCAATTCAACGAAAAATCGTAACTGTGTATGTGAGTGCGTGTGTGTGAAATTTGAACTGTATTTGCAAAGTAATTTTCACGGTTTATAGCAAAAAAAAATACCATTTTCTAAAAATTTCACTTTTTAAGTTTTGACGCCTCAAAAGTTGATACAGTTAGAAAAAATCAGCTACAAAATGTCGCGTTTAAGTAAATCAAATTCGTCTAAAAAAGTGTCGCTTTTAAAGACTAAAAAGTTTATGTGATATTCGTATGCGTTCGAAAGTCATATTATAACAACAGCAACAAACAGCAAAATAAGCAATTATTTAGCGAAAAGGTCGTGCAGTAGAAACACTGTGTATACACTGCGGAATTTGTAGCAAAACGCTAAAGTCGACGCAACACTGTGTGGTAAGTTTTAGAAAAAGACTAGAGGCTTTAAGAAAATTTTGCGAATTTTCTAAAAAAAAAATTTGAAAATTCCAAAAATTCAATTCTCGTAAAAAACATTAAAATTTTATAAAAACATTAACATTTCATAAAAACATTAAAATTTTATAAAAACAAAACTTTCAAAAAAACATTAAAATTTTATAAAAACATTAAAATTTAATAAAAGCATTAAAATTTAATATGAAAAATCAATAAAATTATTTAAAATTAAAAAGTGCGTTTTTCGACTCAAAACAGAAAAGCTTGAAAATTTATTGAAAAACATTTTTTTTTAACAAAAAAAATTGCAAAAAAGCCTGTTTGCAACTCTTTCAAGCATAAAAAATTGCAAAATTGCAAAAAACTTGAAAGATTACCTAAAAAATAAGCTAACGCCCTCTAAATTGCACCGTGCCCCCAACGACCCCAGACTTGCAGATCCATATACATTCCATAACTTTAAAGAAAGTATATAAGAGCCGCACTAGTGTAGCGCAGAGTAAACACTGCCAGACAAGAGAAACCAGCAAACTCAGCTACAGAGACAGCGGTACGTGGGCAGAAGCAGAAGAGGCAGCAGCAGCAGCAGCAGCATTAGTGGTGCTAGCAGCAGCAGAAGCAGTTCAAGTGCAAATATCAAGCGACGCGTTCCATAACCAAATAGACGCCTTAAAGTTGAAAGACACCAATTTTCGTCACTGCCTAATGGCAAGTTCGCTTAATAAAACGAGACACAGGCGCAGATTGACTGCGATCTCGTTTCTATCGAATATTTCATTAGATGGCACACATCGGGATACTAAATTTGGAACAACAATTGGCATTTGTGGCAACGCGGCTACAACGTACAACGCAACGGCAGCGGGATTACAAAGTGGCGCAACGACTGGCGGCGGTATCGGATACGGCGGCGGCGGCGGCAAGCAACAGCAACATCAGCACCAACACTTCAATTACAACCGCAATAATCGACATCCACGGCAACAGCAGCAGCAGCAGCAACAACATCAGCATCACCATCAACATCATTACTATACGCAACATCATACGAATGGCGCAGGCTGCAATGTGGGTAACGGCAACGCCGGCGGCGCTGGCATGCATGCCACTTCGGCCGCCATGTATCTCGCCAATTGCGATGATGCGCACATGGATCACATGGGTGGCGGCAGCGGTAGTTGTTGTGGTGCTGGTGAAGGCGGCGGCACTGGCAGCGATGGCTGTGCCGATAGTACCGGCAGCGCCGATGGTGATGGGCATTTTAGTGAAATTGAAAATATGGGTCAACACTTGATAAATGCACGGCCAGGCAACGCTTACAAGGGCGATAGTGGCATTAAAGCAGCAACAGCAACTGTCGCAGCCAGATCGACAGTCAAGCATATGGATAAATCCGCTGGTGACTACGACATCATCAGCGGCAGCGATGGTGGCAGCGGTGGCGTTGGTGTTGCAACTGTGACTGAGAAGCGCAATGTTAAGCGACCTACATCGAGTAGTCGGCAACAGTGCAATCATAATTGCAGGCAAACTTCTAAGCATGGCACAATGGGCATTGCCAGCAAGCAACAGTTGGCTGGCGGCAGTGGCGGTTCGGGCGCCGAGAGCGGCAGCGATTCGGATAGCGTCAAAATACCAATGAAACTTTCCAGTTTGGGTGCTGGCATACTAATGCCATTGCGTGAAAGGTGAGTGCAAATAAACTGTTATTACTTTACTCGGTATATCATATAGCCACACGTAAATCGTGTATGTGCGAATTATTGATAGTGCAAAACTTTTAAAAACTGTGTATGAAGTGTTATAAGAGCGTTGACTTGCCATAAATCGTTGTAAAATTGAATTTGTACCTTTCACTTTTCTAAATAACACACAGAAAGTTCAGTTGCCGATTGAAAAATATATAATAGCATATATGTCGAGCCCCTGCGGTGAGAAACACAAAATCGAGGTGAATTTTGAGCTCGGGTTGACTCGCGTAACTAGAGTTGTGCAATATCATTTTGAATATTTTAACCTCCACTTATTTAGACTAGAATCGTACATATCCAAATATTTTCTACTAGCAAAGAATCCCCGCTTAACACTAACGACCTCTTTACATGTCCAATGAAACTTACTCAACTATCTCACCATTCCCAATGTTCCAACACCGTTATTACTTAGCGATCCAAATCATTTCATTTAGATCATCGAAATAAAAGCTCTTCACCAAATAAAATTGGGGTAATTTCCGGTAACGTAGAACCAACTCTTTTCTTGGACCTACCGTTAGATGACCTCGTTGACAACTGACTTACCCTTGCCAAATACAGTGTTAGATAATCGTTACAACAGCAACAACATAAATATTTTGTTATTGAAAGACAAGTATTGGGTCTCAAGTCTCAAGAACTTCATAGAGATTCTTATTCGATGGTATATCCACAGCAAATTAATTACTTGAAGCAACGGGACCATATTCTATCTAAACCTACCGTAATCCATGTTCGTGTCTGCGAAAGTCGGGTTTAAGCTACCCAAATATTATTATGCATACATACATATAAAAGTAGATAAAAACATAACTGATTTTCAGCAAGTAGTCACTTTTAAAATTGATTTTTTCTTTTAATGTAAAAAAATTAATTATAAAAAAAATATAAAATTTATTTATACAAAATTACAAAAAAAAAAAAAATCTGAAAATAATAAGAAAAAAATTTTAATGAAAAAAAAAATTTTATTAAAAAAAATTAAATTTGAAAAGCTAAAAAATTTACTTTGAAAAATTACAAAATTCAATTTGAAAATTGAAAAAAAAAATGTTTAAATAAGTAATAATTTCGTATAAAACCGACGCACTTCACTTCACAATGAAATATTTCGAGAAATCATTCAAGCACTGCGTATAAGTGATAAGATAAGGAAGAGTCTGCCGTAAATTGATATAAATTATAAAGCTTTTTGAACAAATTTAACAAAATTGGCAGCAATTTCTGCTTTACAATTTCATTTGGCAAAACCACTTAAGCCTTAACTATCAAACAAAGACAGCAATCTCAAAATTTCCACTTGAATTGTATATTTGTTTGAGTGTAATGCGAGTATTACGTAAATAATTTGTGCTACCGTATTTTTTTTTCGGCGAAAAAGTTGACAATGCAGGCATGTGCCACTTGACGACACGGAAATTTGCGCTTACCTGCGTAAATATAACTGTATACCTTATACATATGTATGTATGTGTGCATGAGGTACAATAGATTGTATTAATCATATGATATTTATTTGTTATTGCTACAACAATCATTATTACTATATATTTGCAATAATTTGCTGGCGTCGGCTAGATTTTTTTCATGGTATGCGGTACTTTTATTATAAAATTCGTCATGTTTTACACATATTTACAAGTAAATTGTTTAAAAAAATTTTAATAAATTATGAAATTAGAGTGAATTGTCAAATGACCTTAAATGCTGACATAAATATGCATGAGTGTGTCATAACTCTCAATACTAGCCCTGCAAGAACAGTTCACTATTATGCAAAATGCTGCCAATTAGTTGTTAATTTTAATTTCGCTGCGTTTTGAACTTTTTATACATGCATACTTGTATATATTACGATTTAATACTAAAAATTTTAAAATATTTATATATATTTATATATATAGTATATAATTTTAAAAATAAATATTATAAAATTTAAAAATAAATAGACTTTTATGAATCATAAAAATTTTGGGTAGTGAAATTTTGTAGAACTTTAAAAATTAAATTAAATTAAATTAAAATTTTGGATAGTAAAATTTTGTAGAACTTTAAATTTTTAATGCATCAGAAATTACATTTTATAATATAAATTTTTTTTTTAAAAACAGGTTTTGTGTTTTTTCAAAGTTAGGTTTTGTATTTTTTTTTTTAAATAGATTTCGTAATTATTTTTAAATAAATTTTGCAAATTTTCTAAAAATTAATCTGTAAATTTTTTAAAATCTTGCTAAAACAATTAATTATTATAAAATTAAAAAGAAGAATATTTTTATAAGCTCTAAAAATTTTGCACAATTAATTTTATAGAACATTTAAAATTACAAAGTTTCAATAAACTTTAAAAATAAATTTTTTTAATTTTTTCAAGTTCAATTTTGCAACTTTTAAAAATAAATTTTTTTTAATTAGAAAAAGGATGAAAAATATAAAATAAATACATTTTCTTGAGTTTTCAAAAATTTGGCATAATAAAATTTTATAAAATATTTGTAATATTTAATTTTGTATAAAGTTCAAAAAATCATTTTTGCAAATTCTTAACAAATATATGTATTTTGCATTTTTTTTTTAATAAAGTTTAGAAGTTTTTTTTTTTTTTTAAAAATTTGGTTTATTTTGAAATACATAAATTTTACAAATCTAAAAAAAAATTTTAACTTTTTTACAAACAAAATTTTCTCAAAGTTTTTAAAAATAGATTGCATAAAGTTTTTAAAATTATTGTAAATTTCTACAATAATTGCTCGCAATAATAAAGTATTTTCCACGCTTTAAAATTAATAATTGAGTGGAAAATTTTTTTTTGAAATAATTGTATATATTTTTTTAAGCAAGCATCGTCATAATCTAAAAACATATTCATAAATTCCTATAGGGTATATTTCCATATACTTAATACATTCAACTTGATATGTTATTCTGTTTATGCGGCGCCGTAAAAATTCACATGAATCATAATAGACGCCGCAACGCATGGTAGGCACGCGACAGAACGCCAGTAAAGCGTTTAGCTTACACGTATTTAAGTCGGCCGACTACTTACCGCTTGTATAACTTAACTGTTTGTATATATGTATGTATGTTTGTGTGAAATTATAAGCAAAGATTCCGTCAATAAATGGGAAAATCATTTAACGCTTTCCATTTCCAACTGTTTACCTTTAATTGAAACTGCAATCTATTGAAATTGCATATTTTCTATTTTCTGCACACATGTGTGTGTATGTGTATGTATTTCTTAAAAAAGAAATTTTTAATTTTTTTTTCGGTTTTCCTATTTGTTTATCCGTTCTTAAATAATGCACCACGTGTTATGCAAATATATATTTAAGCATATGTGTACTTATTGATATGTATGTATGTGTGTATGTTATTTTATTTACATTCAACTCAAGCTAAATTTAGCTGCAAAATTTCGTTCAGAAATTTCATTCAACAAATTAAAAATAATGAGACATTTATTGTGACTTTAATTTGAATTAAAAATTTATTTCATTTGACAAATTTACATTATATACGATATGCGATGCGATATGTATGTAATATATAGTATTCATTATTATTTTATGATTTATATATTTTTGCAAATGCAAATCTTCGCAAAGTATTAATAAACGTAGAAAACGGTTATTATTATTCTTTATTAGTAAAAGCTTGGAAAGCTCTCGCGCTGATTATGATCACTATATTGATTTATCATATAACAGCATCATAATCATGCCACCTGATCAAATTTGACCCGTATTGACCAAAATTACATTTTCACTAATTTTAAATATTCAAATGGTAAATTAATGAAATGCATATGAAAATTGTTGCTATTACGAGCAAACCGCTTCTCAAGCATACCACAGCAATATTTTTTGCAAAATTTGTGCTTCCAACGATTCAACAGGCAAGCGCTTAATACAGATTGTAAGTTGCAAAATTCAAGCCACAACATTTTGAAGCTTATAGTAAAATAATTTTACATCAAACACAAAATAAACACACGCTTTAAATTTGTATAGCATATTTTTAGGCGCAGCAGTTTAAAAAAAATAAAATTTATGCTTTTTTAAATCTAAAAAATCGATTCTATTATTTATATTAATTTTTGTAAAAATTTCGTATATTAAGCTGTCACTTAATTTCACATTTTTATAGCATAGCTGCAGGCGCAGCAGCTTTTTGTTCAATAAAATGTATGCTTTTTTTTAAATTAAAAAATTTTTTTTTTATTAAAAATGTCAGTTTATTAAATCGGCTCATAATGTCACAGACTTTGGCACTTTAGCATATCCTTAGGCGCAGCAGCTTTTGCTTTTGAAGTATAACATTTAAAATTTTCTTTATTGTGCACAAATACAATTTTTTATATAAGCATCAATCCGTTGAGCTGCCAATTAGTTTCACATTTGTATAGCATACTTGCAGGCGCAGAACCAATATTTTAACATTTAATTGTATATTGCTTGCATAATCCCAAAAAAAATTTTTTTTTAATGTTACTCAATTTAAAATCAAGTCCGTTTTTGTTTATTTCGCCGAGAATTCAACAAATCAACACCAACAAACGCTTAAAATGTTTGCCAAAAAATATTTGCTATTCAAGTAAGAACTTTGGCACCGCCATAACCTTACGGCGTCAAGCGCTTTCATGACCATTGCAAAAATTTTAAATTTCTATGAATATTTCTTTTTTGTTCAGTGACGGCCAATGCACTGGCGCTTGATATTTTTTTTTCGCACGGGATTTTGATTTGCAGCCAATTTTCACAGGCTATTTGGCGCGTCCTTATAGCTCAATGCAAATAAGTGCCACGTATTATACTAGTACTTAGTTAAATGGTGGCATATACACATATGTATGCATGTACATGGATGCTTATGTGAAAGTTTAAGGGGCTTTTAAGTCTACTAAAATGTATCTATTAACATAATATATGTAT